GGGGGAGAGACACAGAAACCACACGTGGACAGACACAGAAAGCACACGTGGACAGACACAGGAAGCACACGTGGACAGGCTGCTTGTGATTTCTAAAACTTCCAAATGTTGCGTGAACCTCGTGTGTGGATTTATTTTTCTAGATTACTAGGATCTGTATTTTCCTATATGATATTCTCAGAGGGGTCTGTGACTATAGAAATTTAAGAACTTTAATTTTAGTATTACATATTTTTATATGACTGAAAAACTACGTAAAACAGCAATAAAATACCGTCTGGTATTCAGCCTAGTAGAATGTTTCTTAACTGAAACTTGGATTGAGTTAATATTTGGGAAGGTCGAGCCATTATTTTTACAGATAAACTCTCCCTTTCTCCCTCACTAATCCTTCACCGATCAGCGAAATTACGGATTCTGGGGCCTCTTTCCCGCAGCGGGAGAGGTTTCCCGTTCCCGGAGCCCCAGGTACTCCGCCGCCCTGGGGTCTGAGTGCTTGCTGTCCTGCCCTCCGCCACCTCCACCAATGAGCCAGAGACAGAGCCCTGGGTGGCTTCCTGGACTGCCCTCCTCGCCTGCCTTCTCGGCTGAGCCCTGGCAGGCCCCGGGCGCGCAGGCTTCGCCTCCGGTCACTTTCAGGGGCCCCCAGACACCCAAACAGCTGCATCGGTCGTCGCCGCACCCAAGGCAGGCGACACAGGAACAACTCCCGCGATGGGTCTTGGAGCGGGCAGATGGCGTGGTGGTTAAGGTGCTGAACTCCCACGTGCCTGGGAGTTCAAGGCCCGTACCTGGCAGCTTGCTTTCTCATTCTCCTTTCAATAATAATGAATAAAATTAAATAATAATTAAAAATAAAAAAAAATAAAAAAAATAAAAAACGCCTGTTGCACACACATTGGACTGTGTGAGGTTTTTCTTTCTCCTTTTTTTGGCGGACGCCCCGCCCCGGAGAAGGCGGATCCCGTCCTCAGTAAGTGTCTGTCCCCGGGAGGACAAAACGCTGCTCCTGCCAGGAGGGACGCAGGCCACCAGCGTGACTGTGGGTCGAGGCCTCGGTTCCACAAAACTGGCCCTGCTGTGGACGCCAGGTGCCAGCCCAGGCTGTGACCCGGATTCTGACCGGCGGGCCTGACTCGGTGCCCACAGCCCCTCCTGGGGTGTAAAGTGCTGGGGAGTGGGAAACACGCTTACCGGCTGCTTTTTCCCAAGGACTGTCTGAATTTCTGTTTAATCACTGCACATCTTTACAACATACAAAGTAGTTCTCCCAGCGGCCAAGTCACAGACATTACATCTCCATTCCTATTTTTGTTCCCACTGAATGTTAAAGATCTCTCAAAAGGTGGAGAACAGCCAGATGGAAGAGCCGCAGAGGCCGTGTGTGGGACGGGAACTGGGCCTCCGTGGTCCACCCCCGCCGCCCCCCAGGAACCTCCATGCTCAGCTGCCTGGAAACCCGTAAGCCCAGTCCCTTTGTGTGTCTATGACAGGCCTGACTGGTTACATGACTGACTGGCGTTGGTGATTAACTCAGTCTTCTGCACCCTGCCCTGCCTGGTCAGGAGGTTGGGGCTGAAAGTTCCAGCTCTCTGAGTGTGGGAGGCTGCCACCAGCGAATAGCGCAGGTCTCTCAGAGAGCATGATTGGCTCCCCTTCAAAACCACACCTTCAAAACGATACTCTGATTGGCCACTTCCCAAAGCAAATCGGTGAGCTTAGAATCCCTCAGATTTGCATATCCGCCACCTCATGATTGGTCCACAAAGCAACCAATCATAACCCACCTTTTACAATCCTTCATTCAACCAATCACTGCCCACCAACATGTATATAAGGACGATCCCTGGCCCGCAATCGCCAGACGACCCAGAAGACCCTGAAGAGTTGTAACACTGCGTGGTCTCCAGCGACCCTGAAGAGCTATGACACCGCATCGTCTCTGGACGACCCTCAAGAGTTGTAACACTGTGTTGCCTCCGTGCTATAACACTGTGCCGCTCGTCCTGTCTCTCCTTCCCTCAGGAAACCCGGTAGACTGTCCTGCAGGTTGGGACATCTGAGCACATGGCCATGCCCACGAGATTGCTAACATAACAAAAATAATGATAATAACACCTTTTTAAAAGGCAGAATGTTTTTTAAAATTAAAACATCTAAAAAATAAATAAGTTTTAGTAAGCTTGGGTTAATGTATTATGGAAGAAAAATCAGTTTTTATAGATGGTGTAGCCCAAGTATCCAGTAACACAGTCTGCCACACGCCCAGGTGTGTGGTCCAGGACACACCCTGCCACGCGCCCTGGTGTGCAGCAGGCCACACCATCTGGGTCTGTGCAAGTGCATGCCCCATTGTGTATGTATAGTAACAAAACTGCCCAACAGTTTCGAGAATGCCCCATCCTTAAATCACCTGATGGTTTCGAGAATGCCCCGCCTTTACACAGCACAGCTGCGTGTGTGGCACATGTCATGCCGATGGGTCACGTGCTGAGTCCCTCCTCCCTGCACCCCTGAGGCAGGCACTGTTTCCCGGATGAGAAAACCAAGAGGCTTGGAGATTTGAGTGACTTTACTCCCTTAGCCATGGGGGCTGTCCCCGTTCATTCTGACTCCACACAATACTTGCTCTTTGCTCCTGTGACTATTAGGAGTCTCTGAGCTCCCAGTGACAATGAACCTGAGAAACAGCTGGCTAAATAAGTCCTGCTTTCCTTATATTATATCAGGGTCCATAGTGGGTCGCCAGTGCTGTTGCCCTGCTCTGGCCTTAACATTTGCCTTTGACATTCGAAGTCTCAAAGTGGCTGCCATGTCTGAGCCATCATATCCACATTCCAGGTCCAAAGCAAGGGAGGAGCAAAAGCCTTTCAGAGAGACCTCAGTTTTCTATTCAAGAATGAAGCCCACCTCAGGAAATCCAGGCTACATTTTACTGGCCAGATCTGTGCTTTTTGGTCACCTTTTTCAGCAAATGAGGCGAGGGATTTGAGAGTTGTTTTCTAGACAAGTGGGATTTAAAGGCAGGGCGATTCATTTGATATGCTGTAATAATACACAGTGATGAATGCAAAAAATTAAAGTTACAAGGGAAAGTGAGTCGGAGGGGTTACCAATCTATTTAGTGCACGTGTCAGCCTAGCACGACGCAACACCTAGACTTTTCTTTCAGCCTGGACGGTGCACAGAATCTCTTTGGGGCCCAGACTTGGTTTTGGCTGTCCCCCAGCCCTTCCCTTTCAAACCTCCACACTTCGTTCAAGCTCCGGGCTCCCTGCAATCTGCCGCTCAGTGCATCCGTGCGAGAACAGACAGCATGCCAAGACAACGCGGAAACGGACCACGCGCACGAAGCGGTCTTCACCTTCCTCCCAACAGTCTGGGTCAAGGGCCAGGACGACTCCAGAACGCCCCGGGAACGGCTTCCACCTAACATGCAGCTCCTGGCCGGCTCAGGCTTGGTCCTCCCAGAACGACACGTCGTGGGCACAAACAACGGCGGAGACGGAGAGGCTGACGACAGGACGTGACTTCCACAGCCTCAGGGACGGCTCGGGTGCCACCCCGGCCCCCGGCCCCGTCCTCTTGGAGACAGCAGTTCTACGCGAGCTCCACTAGAGGGCAGCACGTGCACAAGGAAAGTAGGAGCCTCCTTTCCGGAAACCGAGACGCCGGACCCGCCGTGTTGAAGGCACCTGAACTACAAGTCCCGGCATGCATTACTAAGCGCCTGACTTGGCTTCTGCACAAAGATCCCAAGTTTGTCGCCCCTGCGGGGATCCGGAAGGCGCCATCCACTCGCCGCTCTAAAGTAAGATTTCCTAATAGTTTTTAAATGACACTTTGGACTGGGAAAAAGGGAGGCTTGATTTTCGGATGTTACTCCGTCCTGCACGTTTCTGTTTCAGGTTTCACTCAGCAGTTAGATCTGGGTAAAGTGGGTGTTTAACCTTTTTGAAACTCTGGCATAGTTAGAAGTTCCCCAAAGTTGCTCAGAGCAGTCCAAGAGAAGGCGGTTTTACACTTTGACCTGCGTGAACGTTTGCCTTCCTGGCGTGTGGAAAACGTTAGAGCTCCTGAGAAGGCTCCACGTCTCTGCTAGTCAGCATTCCGACCCCAGCGCAGCGAGAAGGCCAGCGTGCAGTTTCCACGCCAGGGTTAGCGAGAGTTGCCTCGTCGTACCGTTTAAGGTCGGGTCTGTACGACTGTAGTCTTTTGTGGTTAGGTTTTTGCCATAGGGTCTGTGTGCTCCCTGGAGAGAGACAGAGAGGAGAGTGAGAGATTGCCCTCCACTGGGCATGGCCTCTCCGCGGCCCCTTCTCCATTCTTCTCTCGGGACTTGGGGAACGCACACACATGCTCCGCGTTATTTTCAAGCCACTGGATCCGGGAATCGAACCATGGTCAACCATGTGGGAGTCCAGCACCTTCACCACCACACCATCTCCTGGCCTCTGCAGTCTCTTTCTAAAGAGAGAGAGAGAATATATTGGGATCGTCTCCCTCAACGCTTTCCATGTTTGAAGCGGAGTGTTTCTGCTGGGTTTCGCTGCGCCCCGGTGAACTTACTGCATGAGCGCTCATGGACACACACAGAGAGTTCATGGCGGCAGAGGGGGTCGGCACTGGGAAGGCCCCACGTGCTGGGACAGCCCGGGGCCCATGAGGTCTTCTTCCGGCCCTGCCTGGACCCGGAGGCCTAGGGTTGAAGCTGGCACCCTTGTCGTCCTCAGGCCTGTCTTACCTCCAGTCCCCACCCCTGCCCCACGGGGTCTCCATCCCTGCCTCCTGCGGCTCCTCCAGGCAGCTGCAGCCCCCACCAGCACCCCCACCCTGCAGGAGCAGGTCTGTCCTCCCCAGAGGTCTTCCCGCGAGCCTGGTCTGACCGGCCACACCCATCACCCAAGGGTGGCCAGCCCGTAAGCCTGTGGAATTTGGGCCGAGGTGCATGGGTGCATGAGAGAGGATCTAGAGATAAGTTCAAAAGGAAGAACAGATAAGGTGACTCTAGGCCAGGCAGGGAACTGGGCCGTGTGGGGTTGTGCGCAGGGGTAAGCTGGTTCGTGACTCCTGCCCGGCTCTCTGCCACCCATCTCCCGCTTTCCACTTTATAAAGGCTGAAAAGTCCAATTGCTCGCTTCCGTCGCTGTGAGGAGCCAAACAGCATGGTCTGGCAGGCAAAGTGTAGTCTGGGTTTTCTGAGGACCGCTTCCCTCTCGAACAGTAAGGGGAGGTCTTTCTGGAAGGGGTTTGGCTTTTGCTCCTATCTTTCTTTTCACCTGGAATGCAGATATGATGCCATGGGACACAGCAGCCACTTTGTCGTTGTGCGCAGGGGTAAGCTGGTTCGTGACTCCTGCCCGCTCCTCTGCCACCATCTCCCGCTTTCCACTTTATAAAGGCTGAAAAGTCCAATTGCTCGCTTCCGTCGCTGTGAGGAGCCAAACAGCATGGTCTGGCAGGCAAAGTGTAGTCTGGGTTTTCTGAGGACCGCTTCCCTCTCGAACAGTAAGGGGAGGTCTTTCTGGAAGGGGTTTGGCTTTTGCTCCTATCTTTCTTTTCACCTGGAATGCAGATATGATGCCATGGGACACAGCAGCCACTTTGTCACATAGTATAATGCCAGAGGAAGACATTAAGGACAGCAAAGCAAGAGAAGAAACCTGGTTTGCTTTTTAATTACCAGAAGGCACATGCTCTCACACACAAGCGAGAAAAATCTCCCCAGTTGGGAGGGGTTCATTTCCCCCTCCTATTGGGATTTTGGGCAACACACATCTGCCGTGGCTTTTCTTTCTTTCTTTCTTTAAATGTTTTGCCATATGGCACGTGAGCTCACTGGTGAGCAGGAAAGATGGTGAGCCACAGAATGTGAGAAATCATCCCCCCCGCAAGGAAGGCCATGCCACAGTCCCTTCTTCATTTGCTTCCTGGATTTTGGGCACACATACACATGTGCCAGAGGTCTGGGACTCGGACCGCAGTGGATGGTGGCCCCCCATCCCCAGCAAGGTTTTCAAACCATCAGGGTCAGGATTTGAACTTGAGTCAGCCATGTGGGACCCTGCTCTCCTAGCCGCGGGGCTGTGGAGTCCCCCGAAGCTGGTATCATGGAGACAGCTCATTGGTTCACGCTGACTCCTCCCACCCCAGCCTCCGCCCCCGTGTCCTGCCCCTGAGCTGCAGCCGGGGCGTTGCGAGTCAGGACTCGCTCCTCCCGGTGGCCCCGCAGTGCGCCCTCTTAGAAACTGCTGATCCTGACTACAGAGTGAGTCGCCCGTCCTTACACGGTAAAAGAGGGTTGGAGCATTGCCGTCGTGCGGCTGGGGGTGGGGTTCCGTCGTCTGCGCCGCCCACCGGCTCTGTGAGGTCTGGTCGGCTCCCCGTTTGTAGGCTGGGTCCTGGGCAGACTTGCTACCCCAGCCCTTTTACTCAGTGACTCCGAGGGACACAGCAAGGCGGGCGGAGCCGAGCAGGGGGCGCCGTCCTAGGGGAACACCGGAGGGCGCAGGGGCGGGGGCGCGGGCTGGGGGCGTGCGGCCCTGCCCCTGCGCCCGACGGCACATCC